TTATTATTGCTGGAATCTTTCAACAACCCATATTGGTGAGGTATTGTACCAGGAGGGCCAGGTATTTAGCTCTGTCGCTGTATTTGTCTGCTAGGCTTGTCATAACAAAGTACCACAGACTTGGTGGCTTAAACAACAAGAATGTATTTTTTCAGAGTTTTGGGAGTTAGAGTTCCAAGATTAAGATTTGAGCGGGGTTGGGATGCCTGGGTGGCTCAGTCGTTGGGCATCTGCCTTTGGCTCAGGTCATGATCCCAGGGTCCTGGGATTGAGCCCCACATCAGGCTCCCTGCTCAGTAGGAGGCCTGCTTTTCCCTCTCCCACTCCCCCTGCTTGTGTCCCCTCTTTCACTGTCTGTCAAATGAATAAATACAATCTTTAAAAAAAAAAAAGACGATTTGAGCGGGGTTGTTTTCTTCTGAGGCCTTTCTCCTTGACATGTAGATGATTCTCTTCTCCCTGTAATTTCATATGGCTTTCCTTCTGTGTATGTTTGTGTCCTAATCTCCTCTTACAAGGACACTAGTCATAATGGATTAGGGCTCTGTCTCCAAATATAGTCACATTCTGAGGTATTGGAGGATAGGACTTCAACATATGAATTTGTGCGGGGACACAATTCAGCCCAACAGCTACTAAGAGGCTCTGTTTTGACTTTGGTAAGTGACAACGATTTATAGGAAGTGAAGCTGAAGTGTGTAAGGTTTAATGTGAAGACTGGTCACTGTATTTTGAGGGGGTTTGTTTTTGTTTTTTTATTTTAGGGCTGGATCTTAATGTGAAATATAATTGTACTTTCCCCCTCTTTTTCTTCATGCTGGACCTTTATTTTTAGAACAATAGTACTTGACCACTCACGAACAGTTAAAGTTTTTTTTTTTTTAGAATACAAATTTGTAAATGGAAAGGTATTTTCTCCCATCCTCTATAAGGTCTGAAGTGAAGGAGTAATATCTTTCTTCAGCTTTAACATGTGGATTATTCAAGAGTGTTAGTAATAGCATAGTGATTGTTTTATATTTGACTTCAGTTATTTTCCTCCTGTTTGTACAGTAGATCCTTGATTTGGCTTTTGGTTAATGCTTTGTTTCCATGTACCTATCATCCATCTTCAACACTGTCAACTTTCTGTTAATGTTTCATCTACCCTCCACCTAAAATTTTTTCCAGTGGATTAAATCCCCCATATTTTAACTGAGATAAAAGTCACATAACATAAAATTCACTTGTTTTAACCATTTTATTTTTATTTATTTTTAAAGATTTTATTTATTTGAGAGAGAGTGAGGGAGAGCACAAGCAGGGAGAGCAGCAGAGGGAGAGGGTGAAGCAGGTTTTCCGTGGAGCAGGGAGCCCAGTGCGGGGCTGGATCCCAGGATCCTGGGATCATGACCTGAGCCGAAGGCAGATGCTTAACTGACTGATCCACCCAGGCGCCCCTGTTTTAGCCATTTTGAAGTGCCCATTTCAGTATCACTTAGTATATTCAGTGTTGTGCAGCCACTACCTCTGTCTGGTTCCAAACATTTTCCTCATCCCTAAAGGAAATCCCATTAAGCATTCACTTCCTATTCCTCCCTTCCTCAGCCCCTGGCAGCCACTAATCTGTTTTCTGTCTCTATATGTGTTCATCTGTTCTGGATTTTTCATATAAATGGAATTATACAATATGTGCCCTTTTATGTCTTTTTTTTTTCACTTAACATAATGTATTTAAGCAGTTTTTTTTTTTTTTTAAGATTTTATCTATTTATTTTGGGGGGGGAAGGGGCAGAGGGAGAGGGAAAGAATCTCAAGCTGACTCCCTGCGGAGCACGGAACCCTGCCCGGGGCTTAATTTCACGACCCTGAGCTGAATCCAAGAGTGGACACTCAACTGACTGAGCCACACAGGTGCCCCCTTAACATAATGTATTTAAGATTCATCCGTGTTGTAGTGTGTATCAGTACTATATTCCCTTTTTTTTGGGGGGGCTGAATAATTTTTTTTTTAAAGATTTTATTTGGAAGAGAGAGACAGATAGAGAGAGCATGAACTGGGAGGAGAGGGAGAAGCAGGCTCTCCACTGAGCAGGGATCCCGATGTGGGGCTCAGTCCCAGGACCCTAGGATCATGACCTGAGCCGAAAGCAGATGCTTAACCTACTGAGCCACCCAGGTACCCCTGGCTGAATAATTTTTAAGCCTCTTTTGTTATGTGTAAAAATGTGGGTTTTTGTTGTTGTTGTTGTTTGTTTTTTAACTAGGCTCCATGCCCAACGTGGGGCTTGAACTCAAGACCCTGAGATCATGAGTCAGATACTCTACTGACTAACCCCTAAAATGTTATTTTTGTAACATCGTTGATTAACCATACTTCATTAAAAATCTTAATTCTCATTTGATATCAATAATATTAGAAAGTAGATTATTAGAATGATTTTATTCTAATAAGAAATTTATTGTAAAGTGAAAAAATAGTAATTTTAGGATATACTTTTCAAGCTGTGTCTTTTTATTTATTTACTTATTTATAAAAGATTTTATTTATTTATTTGACAGAGAGAGCAAGAGCAGGAACACAAGCAGGGGGAGTGGGAGAGGGAGAAGAAGGCTTCCCGCTGAGCAGGGTGCCCGATGTAGGGCTTGATCCCAGGATCCTGGGATCATGTCCTGAGCCGAAGGCAGATGCTTAACCCACTGAGCCACCCAGGCACCCCTTATTTATTTACTTTTTAAAGTTTTATTTAAATAATCTGTACACCCAACCTGGGGCTCTAGCTCATGACCCTGAGAATCAAGAGTTGGATGCTCTTCCACTGAGCCAGCCAGGAGCCCCAAAGCTGCATCCTTTTGGAATTACTGGCCTAGATATCTGAATTGAAGCCATTAGTTGAAATCTGGATGCTGAAACTTATTTGGATTCATGGGATAGCTGAATAAACAGATTCCTTCACCGACATTATTGAGTCAAATGCTTAGTGCAATTTGTGCATCGTGATTTAATTCACACATAGCCCTAAGAGAAAGACAGAATGTTTATCTCATTATAAATTAACATTTGTGAGAAACCTTCTGGGATTGCTCCAGAGTAGTGGAAATAATATGTATTAAATGTATATTTTATCACACTACTTATTTTTGTTGTTTATTTGTTCCTCCTGTCATCTCCCCCTTCCTATTATCATTATTAAATGGTTTCAGGAGAGACTAAAGTGACAGAATGAAGTAATAGTACTATGAATATTTTCATCCAAAGGAAATCATAAATTTTGTTCAGGTCCTTATTTAGTGTTTTGAATGAGGAAAGGCAAATATAAGACTATAGAAAAATAACGCAGAGTACATTCTCTCCTGCTATCAAAACGAAAATAATTGTGTAAGTTGCTTTTAACTAACACCTTTTTTTTTCCTTAAGATTTTATTTATTTATTTGACAGAGACAGTGGGAGAGGGAACACACGCAGGGGGAGTGGGAGAGGGAGAAACAGGCTTCCTGCTGAGCAGGGAGCCTGATGGAGGGCTCAATCCCAGGACCCTGGGATCATGACCTGAGCCGAAGGCAGATGCTTGACGACTGAGCTACCCAGGCGCCCCTTAACTAACACCCTTTATAAAGGTGTTTTTCATAGTCTGGTTTTTAAAATGTGCTTAAAAATGTGTTTTTACATCATGCATATTTATATTATTGGAATGTAAATTTAATTGGAGAGCCTTAAAGTTGGGAAGCTCTAAGCTCTTAATATTTTTTCCATTGAGATGTTAGCTTAATGTTGCCTGTATAAATATACAAATGCACATACTGAGAAATACGGTTCTTTGGTACTTTGATCCTGAAATTAGATCTATATACTTTTATTTAAAAAAATTTTTTTTTCTGGGCGCCTGGGTGGCTCAGTTGGTTAAGTGACTGCCTTTGGCTCAGGTCATGATCCTGGAGTCCCTGGATCGAGTCCCGCATCGGGCCCCCTGCTCGACAGGGAGTCTGCTTCTCCCTCTTACCCTCCCCTCCTCTCATGTGCTCTCTCTCTCATTCTCTCTCTCTCAAATAAATAAATAAAATCTTTAAAAAAATTTTTTTTTCTTTTTAAAGATTTTGTTTAGAGAGAGAGCATGTGAGTGTGAGTGGGAGGAGGGGCAGAGGGAGAGTGACAGTCTCAAGCGGACTCTGCGCTGAGCACAGAGCCAGATGCGTGGTTGGATCTCACGACCCTGAGATCATGACCTGAGCCGAAATCAAGAATGGGACGCTTAACTGATTGTACCACCCAGGAGCCCCTAGATACACATACTTCTAGCATTCATATGAAATAGGATAGTTTATTCCTTTTTCTGCACTATTCCTAGGAAAGTTAAAAGGACAAAAAAGTCAGATTTAAAAGTTTTGTAGTGGGGCGCCTGGGTGGCTCAGTCGGTTAAGCGTCTGCCTTCGGCTCAGGTCATGATCCCAGGGTCCTGGGATCGAGCCCCGCGTCGGGCTCCTTGCTCAGCGGGGAGCCTGCCTCTCCCTCTCCCACTCCCCCTGCTTGTGTTCCCTCTCTCTCTGTGTCTCTCTCTGTCAAATAAATAAATAAAATCTTTAAAAAAAAAAATACAAGTTAGTTTTGTAGTGACTCTTTCATAAATGAAATGGGGTCTTATGATAAGCTTAAAATGATTTGTTTTACCATCAAACATCTAATGAAAACTTCATTTTAAAAATTTGAACAGTTCTCAGTGATTCTACCCTCCTCCCCTACCTCACACAGAGTACACAGCGCATTCACCCCATGCTGTTCACCAGGCTGAATTTTACAACAAATGCTCATTAGCACTTATTCTGTGAATTGGCCTTTTTCAAATGTATAACTGGTTTCTGCCATTAAATTTGATAGTTCATTTTGTAATTAGGTTGACTAAAAGCTAGAAATGATACCCATTAGAAAATGGAAGAGAAGTATGAAAAATGTTCATTTTAAAATGTTTTCAAGTTATGTTGCAGTGCTGATATTTGTATTGAAAATACTTTTTCCCTACCCTAGTGTCCTAGAACGAATACATCACCATGGCTACAGAAATTGGTTCTCCTCCTCGTTTTTTCCATATGCCAAGGTTCCAACACCAAGCACCTCGACAACTATTTTATAAGCGACCTGATTTTGCACAGCAGCAAGCAATGCAGCAGCTTACCTTTGATGGAAAACGGATGAGAAAAGCAGTAAACCGAAAAACCATAGACTATAATCCGTCTGTAATTAAGTATTTGGAGGTAAGTCTAGTTAATGTGCTTCTGATGACCAAACTTTGACTTTTTAAAAAGAAGAAAGTTTTTAGAATGCAAGGTTTCTTGAATTAGTTGGATGAAGTGGTATTTCAAATGAGGCCAATCACTAGTACTTTTTTACTTTCTGCATTCATGAATTATCCTCTCAAAAATTATAAACTCTAATTTACAGTTTAAACTTCTTTTTTTAAAAAAGATTATTTGTTGGAGAGAGCGAGCATGAGAGCACAAGCAGAGGGAGTGGCAGGCAGAGGGAAAAGCAGGCTCCCCGTGGAGCAAGAAGCCAGACACGGGACTTGATCCCAGGACACTGGGATCGTGACCCGAGCCGAAGGCAGATGCTTAACCAACTGAGCCACCCAGGCGTCCCATAGTTTAAACTTTTAGAACAAAGTTCACAGCAAATCTCAGAAAGTGGTACTTTAATCCCAAAGCCAGCCTTAAAACACTTGTTAAACCCACAGTGTATTTGAAATGTCAGGAGACTACCAACATAAGTATACTTTTGTGGGAACACATGTTCAGAACAGCAATTTTGCATGGCTGTAGGAACACTGATTTTCCAAGTCCTCGGTGGTGGATAGCTCTTACTGTCAGAGAAAAGGGCTCCACTTTCTTGACGGTCAAGCACTATAGGGTGAAAGCAACCCTGACAACGTAACTAAAGGCAGAGTAGGCATCTGCCTAAATCTCTGCTTCATATTTCTCCCTTTTGAGTTCTTTATTTACTTGTCTTCACCTAGGAATTAGCCTCTGAGATTCGCTTTTTATTACTAACGCTATTACTTTAATCAGGTTTTGATCTCTGGCCTCCTATGAAGAAAATTTGCTTTTTCTTACCTGAGACTGTTCTTAAAGACCTGTTAGCATATTGGATAATTAGTATATTGCAGACACATAAGAGAAAAAGATTCATTCAGAGATGAAGACAGATTTAGGTTTTTCCAGGTTATTCAGTTGGAAAACTAGTCTAGGAGAGGTTGAGAGGATTTAAGAAAACCAAGGGCAAGATATCAGGAATTGTTTTGTGCTGAGGATTTTGAAGGAATTGGAGACATGTGCCTATCCCTTATCCTTTTCCTTTTATTAAAGCATGGTCAGTGAGAATGTGTTGGGGTCAGCAGTATCTTGGATGATTGGTTGGGGATGAGGTGAGTAAAGAGAGGAGGGAAATTCTAAACAATGTCATTAGGATAAGGTCTCTTTAGGATACCCACTGTTATTTTTGTTTTAGAACATAATGAAAAAGTTTTAATTCTGTTTTTTCCCCATTTGATAGCAGCTTACATTTTGTTTCAAACAGTATAGTTGGACCTTATATTAATTAATTATTTTGTTTGTTTTTAAACAGAATAGAATATGGCAAAGAGACCAGAGAGATATGCGGGCAATTCAGCCTGATGCAGGTTATTATAATGATGTAAGTATTAAGATATGTTATACTAGCTTAGTAAAACCTCTTTGCTTGGACATTTGAACATAAAACCATGTGATCATTTGAACGTAAAACCATGTGATCTCAAATGCAAACATGGACTTTTTTTTATGTTTTTATAATTTAAACAAAACATTCCTAAAGAGATAATATAACATATCTCTGTACTCCATGGGTTATTTTTTTTATCTCAATTAAAATTTTTCTTTTACTTTAATGGTATATCAACTTTTGATTTGGGGCTTAAAGAAATATCCAGCAAAAGATTGCACTGCCTCAGAGTCTGTGGAATAGGAAAGTTAATTTTAAATTTGGTTTATTGTGAACATGTTTTTATTGTGTTGACCTTGAGAAGTAATTGGGGAAATCACGTTCTTGATTTTGTTGTTTGTTTAATAATAATGGGCATTTAACTGTCCTGTATCTCAATTTTCTTCATTTAATTAATTCAGACTGATTATAATAATAGTCTTTTGAAAGTCCTGTATAGTCCTGAATTTGTCTCTAAATGTTGAAATAATTACCTTGCTATTTCCCTGGTTTATGCCTTGTGTGTAATCAGGAGCCCTTAAAACCCAATTTTTTCTTTTTGTAGTTGGTCCCACCTATAGGGATGTTGAATAATCCTATGAATGCAGTAACAACAAAATTTGTTCGAACATCAACAAATAAAGTAAAGTGTCCAGTATTTGTTGTTAGGGTAAGTATTGTGTTGGGTACTTTTTTTTTTTTTTCAAAAATTAATCCTGAGTTAGTCTGTACATATATTTAACAGGACAGAAATTATTTTAAACTTATATCTGGGATAAAAATTGTTATGTTGCTAATAATTTTATTTTGGAATACCCAATCATTTATCCACTGTATTCACATTTAGTAAGGTATTGCTTTTGGATTGTTCTTCATGTTGCAATGTCCATAGAATTCTCTGAGCAGGCCATGGATCTATATTGTAGCAGGTCTCAGACTTGCTCTTGAATAGTAGGGTGGCTTTTGCTTTTGTTTAGAAAGCAACATCTCAAAGTTAATGAAAACTGTTGGGTGTCACTAGTAAGGAAAACACCTGAAAAGAGCTAAAGGCCAGTGGTCAGCCATAATTGTTAGCTTCATAAAGGTACATAGTAGGTACTCAGTACATATGCATGAAATTTAAGTATAATTTTTAAGTAAATAGTAGATTGGCATGGTTTAAAATTTGAAAATTCGAAGGGGTTTGCAATAGAAGGGCTTCCCATCTTCGTCTCCCAGGCATCCAGTTGATATTACCATTTGTGATAGTATAATCATTTTCTTTGTAGTTTGCTAAGTAAGAATGTACTTGTTGGTTAGCAGTATATCAAGTCTAGAAATGTAGGATAGAGTTAATAGAGTTAAGCAAATAAGAATTGAAAAAAAATGGGACAGAGAAGCCATAATAATAGGCAAACATTGTGGCAAATGAGCAAAATAAGCAAGTCCTCTGATACTAGAGAGGTATGGTAGAGAGCAGGGAGAACCAAAGGTCTGAGGGAAATATTGCAGTCAGTCTTAGGTCTCGTATTTGCTTCAGAGGTCTAAAGCAGTAGAAATATCAGTAAAAAAAAAAAAGCCACTTATTTTATTGGCTTTTTTGTTGGTAGAACCAACCAGTATGTAGTATGATTTTGTTTGCCAGGGAATTTGATAAAAGGGGTTGGTGTGTAGCTAATTTTTGTATCTTCTTAGCATAATAGAGAAAATTGTTTTGAAATGAGTAAAATCTGAGCATTTGGTATCACAGCACAGAAGGATAAAATTGTATTTGTTACAGTTTGTTAGATAGGTAAATTTCTCATTTGGGGATCAAACTGTAAGGTCTCAGGAGACATTTATACATAGTAGAAACACAGTCCAAATTACAAGATATTAAGACGTAAGGACAAGGTATTGTGCCTAGAGCTCTGTTGTCTGTATTATTTACTTGGTTGGGATCCCTAATAGATAACAGAAACTAGGAAAGTAGGAGGATTTTATTCATAATCAAAGTAAGCAAAATCCTGATGTGCAGGTAAGCAATAAAAAGCCAGGTTTACCAAATAGTCTTCATTTTATTTTATTTTATTTATTTTATTTTTATTTTTTTTTAAAGATTTTATTTATTTATTTGAGAGAGAGAATGAGAGAGAGAGAGTACATGAGAGGGGGGAAGGTCAGAGGGAGAAGCAGACTCCCCGCTGAGCAGGGAGTCCGATGCGGGACTTGATCCTGGGACTCCAGGATCATGACCTGAGCCGAAGGCAGTCGCCCAACCAACTGAGCCACCCAGGCGCCCCAAATAGTCTTCATTTTAAATATCTCATCCTGCTATTCCTATAAGCACACTTGTATTTTTCAACTGTGTGTCATAATTTCTAGTTAAATACATTTAGTGGCCAGGAAAAGTTTAATATCCTTGATGTCCTTAAATTGGTACTTACTTTTTTTCATAAAACAGCAGTAACTTTCTTCCTAAATTGGTCCACTAGCAGATGTAATCCTTCTTTGAGTTATTTTGGTGACTGACCATTTTATTTATGTTAGCCTGCCATGTATCCTAGGAAAATGTGGTCTTTGCATATTTTGCTTTTAAAGGTTCTTTAAAGGGTGTAGGTGTGTGTAACTTAACCAGGTACTTTTAATGCATTTACTATTTTTTTTTTAAGATTCATTTATTTTGAGAGAGAGAGAGGCAGAGAGAGAGAGAACACATGTGGGTGGTGAGGGGAGGGGCAAAGGGAGAGGGAGAGAGAGAATCTTAAGCCGACTCCATGCTGAGCACGGAGCCTGACATGGGGCTCGATCTCACAACCCTGACAAATCAGGACCTGAGCCGAAACCAAGAGTTGGATGCTTGAACGACTGTGTCATCCAGGTGCCGTGTGCATTTACTATTTTTAATTTAGTTAATGAGCTAAAGTGCTAGAGCTTTTCCTGCACTGTTAATACAAGTGCTTTTCTGACAAAGTACTTGCTTATAAATCTGAACTATGCCTAAGTGAAAGTCAGTATTGTCTATTTAATGTTTATTATTGGATATTTTGTAAATACTTTCTAAGTGTTTTAAAAATTAGCTAAGATTCTTTTTTTTCTTCCCTAGTGGACTCCAGAAGGAAGACGGTTGGTCACCGGAGCTTCTAGTGGAGAGTTTACCTTGTGGAATGGACTCACCTTCAATTTTGAAACAATATTACAGGTAACAGTAATGATCAGATGGTAGCATTCTTCTGTGGTACTGTAAAGAACTGGAGATATAATTAGTTTATTGGCATTTTAAACTTAAAATTGGACAAATAATTCTTGGGAGTTAATATATGCTCATGTAAAGCCTTCTGTCGTATATTCTTTTACATAATGTTTACAAATGTTTTATGTTTTCACAGGCTCATGATAGCCCAGTGAGGGCCATGACTTGGTCACATAATGACATGTGGATGTTGACAGCAGACCATGGAGGATATGTGAAATATTGGCAGTCGAACATGAACAACGTCAAGATGTTCCAGGCACATAAGGAGGCGATTAGAGAGGCCAGGTTTATACACAATATACCATTTTCTGTAGTCCCTATTGTCATGGTTAAATTATTCTCTAAGTGTATTCTGGGTGCAGAGATGCATGGGCTCTGTCAGATTCTGGGATACTTTCTGCACCCTATAAACACAATATTTTTCTTTGTTTTCACACACTCACCATTTCGCTGGCACTTTTCTGAAGTAGTGTTGTCCCGGTATCAGCCTTTGCAATATGTTAGAGATGTATTGTCTGCCGCATTTTGCACTGGTTTTCTCTTTTCATTTATGGTTAATAATGTGTATACGTTATTCCTTTTTATTACCTACTGTGTAAGACAAGAATCTTTCATTCCGAATAAAGAATTCAGTCTTTAATTATACAGCTGAATAAAATCTAAAGCCTACAGAAAACACCTTCAGAGTTCACACAAAATACAAGAAAAAAAGGCTTAAGTGAAGACCTGGTTGGCTTGGTTATGCCACGACTTCAAAAGGAAAGTATAGTAGGACTAAAAACTCACAAATAACTCTGGATGTGGCAAACATTAATGGAGTAATGAATGGGTTCTTCAAGCTTTGAAACTGTAAGCAAACCATTGTCAAGAGGACTTTAGGACTTTTTCTTCTGATTCACTGTTGAGAACATCAGTTATGCAAATGTATAATAAGTGGAGTTTAAAATATTTTCAGTGAGTTGTATATTTTTACATATCAGTGAGATATGTATAGTAAAACCGGAAAAAAAAATTTTGAAAGCAAGCCTGAAGAATTGCTGCAGCCTCAGAATAAAGCTAAGCAGCATTCTTTACAGGTGTACTGCCCATGTGTGGGAGGAGGTTGACATCTTTATAGAAAACATCATCCACTGCAGTCACTTGTTTCTACTTTCAGAATTTTAACAAAAATTGTTGGATAAACATGCTTCTGCAAAAACTGCTTTAGTGTCCTGCCCATACATTGAGTTTCACAGTTGGTTCTTTGTTAGTTATACGACTCAAAAGTTCAAGAGAGTTCTTAGAGATAGATGAGAAACTTGATGGTTTTTCATGACAGGGAGGGAAAGATGGCAGAATCCTTTGCAGTAGATTATCTTTGGCTTCAAACACAGTCTGAATGTCTCTGTGTTCGTTTTCCCTAAAACGTGCAACATTCATGGAATAGCTTGCCAGGGAGAAGGTGTGAGAGTTTCCCACAGACTGTTCAAATAAATGAGAAACATTGTATGTAGGGGTGTTTAGCAACTAGTCTTTAAATAGCCTGTCCAAAATTTTTTAGCTTATCATTTCATGAAGCATCTGAGGCAGAAGCTGATGCTAATTTTTTGAGCGGTATTCCTATGTGATTTAAAAGAGTGTTGAAGGAATATTGCAAAAGTAAAATTCACTTAGTTTTCTACACTTAAATCAGCTCCATATTTTCTTATTGGTAAGACAGGAAATACTATACTGTGGGGAGTGTGGGAAGCATTAGTACTAATACACCTGTAAAGTTCTCGGACTATGTTGATTGAAAACTAAGAAGCAACTACTCTGTTGAATTCTTCTTTTGATGAGATACGTTTGTTAGCTGACAACATTCTCTTTAAGGGCTTCTTCACTGTTGGAATACTTCCCACTCCTGTTTATAACTCAGCACAGTGTTTTTATTTTTCCCTGTCTGAGAAGCAGAGATAATCTGTTAAATGCTGACTTCTTTCCCCTGCTGTGTGTCTTCATGTAACAGTTTCTCACCCACGGATAATAAATTTGCTACATGCTCTGATGACGGCACTGTTAGAATCTGGGACTTTCTTCGTTGCCATGAGGAAAGAATTCTCCGAGGTACGTGTACTAACAGTACTGATTGGAATATTTAAATAGGGAAGGCATTTGTGGTTAAATCATCACAATACCACAATACCAGCTTACATCTCCATTCAATTTATTTACATATACACCGTCTCAGGCTCTTTAAAGAAACCTGAACACTCTCTCTGGTTCACAGTCATTTTGTAGATTTTTACTACTACTAATATCTTTGAATTCTTTGAGTTGAGTTGTAAATTACATAAAGTGTTCCTCTTCTGTCATCCCACCACCCCCGCAAATTACTTGCTTATCTGTATTCATCTGTTAAGGCTATATTCCTTTTCCTGTCTTACAGCCAGCATAGCTTTCTCCAACATAATGGCACTATAATTTTATTTAGATACTCACATTCTCCTGGCAGTCCTTTTACAATATGATTAACTGAGGTATCAATAGCTACACTTTTCATTACTGCTATTTCTGAAAGCAGGTGTTGTGTTTTTGGTTTTGTTTTGTTTTTAAACAGTATACCACATTTGTGTACTACATGGCCCACTTGTTACTAAATTTTTTGTTTACTTTTATTGATTTCATAATTATAAACTAATGTCTATGAATTACTCCCTCTTACAAAAGAAATCCATATTTTTACTTGGATTAACTTAGTTTTAGACTTCATTAAGTAGGGCTGTTGCAATACAGTTTATCTCTACCATTTCTGCGAATTCAGTGGGTGCTAGAGTTAGGGAATTAGTTTATATATGTAATACAAACATTGAAACAAACATTTGATTAATAAAAACATTTAATCTCATTAGTTCATTGTTAACTAGGAAGGTAGTGTTTTTCAGGTGCTTAATTTGAACTTGTACTAATTTAACAAAGAATGCATTCCACTCCATAGTCTTGATTCCAGTATCCCAAAAAAGTAACATCTTCCTCTGACACATAAATGCTGGGTAGGCACATGGGTGCCGCAGTCACTGGGTGTCAAGAAATTACTATTCAGAGATTTTCCTTTCTTTTCAAGAGTCTTGGTTGAATTTTTACAACATTCCAGAGCTTAATTTATAGCCTATAGTGTTGATACTTTCTAGATAAGAAAATAAATGCCCTTGATATTTAACCCATATTTCAAGCCAGGTTTTTTTTCTTTTAAATCATGTTTGTTTACATGTTTCTGGCTTTGCACATTTTGTGTGAGTTCATCCACAGTGCTGTATGGTGATAGGATATAGTACCTATCATTGAAGGAGTATACTCACTATGAATGTTATAATATTGTACAACTTCAGAACTAGATGGAGTCTTTGGAATCATTTAGCTGGAGTTATTTTATGGATGAGCATCATGACCCAGCAGGCTTAAGTGACATGTTCAAGGTAAAATAAGTTCAGATTCAGGACTAGAATCTAGCCTAATGCTGCACTAATGTTGCAGCTTTTCTCACTTTTAATGGAAGTCTTAGCTGTTAAACAGAAATAAGATAACTTTTTCTAGGCTTTTAAAATCCTAATATAGAGGAAACAGAATAATTGTAGTTACCAAAAGCAATTCTAAAGTATCAGTACAATTATTTTTACAGTGGACTAGGGAGGACTATAATAATTATGAAGTCTTATATAAAACTACTATGCATCTTGGATTCAATAAAAGAGAACCTGCTATGTGGCAACATTTTTCACTTCAGTGTTCAATGAAATGTTACTCAATTTTGGTAATGAAACTGTTTCTAAATAGTACTTAAGAACTTTTCCTCTGAAATTTAGAGTGTATGTGTGAGATATTCTAGCAGTTAAATACTTTCAGATTTGAGTTGAGGCAAATTTGGATAAGATTAAATGGATGCTGAATTATTATTTGTTCTTCCTATGGCTTAAAAAATACACCAGCATCCTGCCTATATTATTTGAGCATTGAATTTTATTTTTTATGTGAGAGCTCTTTTTATTTTAATTTTGCTATGGAAATTTCAAGCATGTACAAAAGTATAATGAATCTCCATGTACTTTTAGGATGTATGTTCTAGCTTAGCTTACTCATGATTTTTGCTCCCTTTTAAAAACATTTTTCTTATTACCTCAATGAGTATATGGATCCAATATGAATATATTAAACCAAGTTAGTTATACCACCCAAATAGTAGTTCTAATAACAGGTTTGATATAGTAGGTGAGTTATTAGATTCCAATTACCCATTTACTGTCATTCTCATTTTTCTAAATTCTCTGAATTTTCGTGATGATTGTAAAACAGTGAAACCAGTTACAATTTTCCTGTCCTTCACTTGTGAATTCCAGTTGTCTCAAGGCTGATCTGAAATTCTTCACATAAAATTTCAAGTGAATTTAATTTATCTTTATACATAGAAAATTGGGTCACAAAGTCAAACAAATAGGGATTGGACCTTCCAATATCTAAAATGTCAGTTGGTCTCTACGAAGGGATGATGTTCAAGTAGCCTACACAGACTCTGAACCATTGGGCAGGTAAGGATAGTCCTGCACAATGTTAGTGTTGTACATTAGACCAAAACTTGGGTTTAGGTATTTTTAAAAAGATTTTTATTTATTTGACAGAGAGAGGGAGAACAAGCAGGGGGAGCAGCAGAGGGAGAGGGAGAAGCAGGCTACCCCCTGAGCAAGGAGCCCGACTGGGGCTTGATCCCAGCAGCCTGGGATCACGAACTGAGCCGAAGGCAGACCCTTAACTGACTGAGCCACCCAAGCACCCCGTCTTGGGTTTAGTAAGAACATTTTAAATGAAGGGGATGTTTATGATCATGTAGTTCAACTTTATCAAATACTTACCTTTTCTATATCATTCCTAAAACCCAGTCTTCTCATAAACATTTTTAGTGTTATAGTATTCATTATCTCAAGTGATTATTTTTTCCAGTTTTAGATAGCTTAATTTTCAGAAAGTTCTTTCATTATATCAGAAATTTGCTTCTGTATGACTTGTCCTGCCTCAGGAACACAAAAAATTAAGTTTATACTTTCTTCATGGCAACCCTTTTAAGTATTTGAAGATAGCTATCATGTCTTCTTTCTTTAGTATGTTAGTATACTGAAGCAAGCACTCTATCATGTCTTTTTAATGTAGACCATCAGCTATAAGCATACAGGATCCCTGTGCATGGTGGAAGCCATGATACCATACTGTTGACTGCAGAATTTATAGTTGCTTTTTAGTGTCCTTTCTGAGATTGTTCTCATGCTTTTTGGAAAAGGAAGAAGTTACACAAGAGAAAATAATCAGTATTTTTTAAGGTTCAAATGAGCACAGATCTGTTGTTAGGAGATTTGCTATTCAAAAGCTCATGATTGGTCCATAAGTATGAAATTGAACATACTGAAAAATTGAGAGGTATCGTGTACCACTCATTACTAAAACATATGCAGGTCAGCTTGATTTATACACAATTATCCTTTTCCATTATTACCTTGAGCACTTAATTTGTGGGCTGGGATTAAAAAAACATTTAAGCATCAGGAGTACATGAATCTAAATAAGCCTCTAGTTTACTGATATTTATGCATTTGACTCCCATTGAAATAAAGCCATTAAAATCCATTTAATTAATGACCATATGCTATACGTATGCTACCATTGGTAGAAGAATCTTTTCCCAAGGTATGACACTGCCCCTCGTGCTTCTTAAATTTTAGTAGGGAAGATATTTTCACACACTTAAGATGGTGGAGAATATGAGAAGAGTCTTGATAGTGTTAGAAAGGTAGTTTTATCTGTATAGAGTTAGAAGCAGATCACTTAAGACTAGCTAAAATGTACACAAGAAAGGTTGAAAACACAGAATCAATAAGGAAACTGAAGTAAACTTTAGTGAGAAGCATAATACTCTTCAAAAGAACCCAGTTTACAAAGTTTCAGCGTGCTTTCATTTTGTTTTACCTTCTTGGTTTTAACAATAGCTGATACAGTACACTTACTATGTATCGGGCATGTTCTAAGAACTTTATTTTTTTTAAAGATTTTATTTATTTATTTGACAGAGACAAGAGGAGAGAAGGAACACAAGCAGGGGGAGTGGGAGAGGGATCATGACCTGAGCCGAAGGCAGACGCTTAACGACTGAGCCACCCAGGTGCCCTCTCCCCGCCTTTTTTTAAGAGAGAGTGTAAGCTAAGGTGGGAGGGTGAGGGGAGGGGCAGAGGGAGACAGAAAGAGAGAATCTTAAGCAAGCACCATGCTCAGCATGGAGCCCAGCATGGGACTTGATCTCACAACCCTGAGATCATGACGTGAGCGAAAATCAAGAGTCGGATGCTTAACCGACTGAGCCACCCAGGCTGCCCTGTTGTGATAACAGATCATTTAATCTTCCTGGTAACCCTATGAGCTAAATACTGTTTGTTCTGCATTTTACAAATGGGTAACCAAGGTACCAAAAAGTTAAGTAAACCTTAAGGTCAGGTAGCTTGTAAGAGGTGGGGCTAGGATTTGAACCCAGGTTTTTAGGGCCAGAGTTCATACTCAACCACTATGTTAAACTGCCTCTTTTCTGTTTTAGAAGTAATATCAACATGGATGTAATGATGTCTTCCTGAGCTGTGATGACAGAATTACAGAGTTTTTTGGGGAGAGGAGAAGAGTGTAGGTAGAGGGAACTAATTGAGGTACTCAAGTTAATTTAACTATTTGTCTTTAAAACTGTCCATGTAGGTGGGACACCTGGGTGGCTCAGTTGGTTAAGCGTGTGACTCTTGATTTTGGCTCAGGTCATGATCCTAGGGTCCTGGGATCGAGTCCTGCATCAGGGTCTTTGTTCAGCGGGGAGCCTGCTTCTCCCTTTGCCTGCCGCTCCCCCTGCTTGTGCTCTCTCTCTTTCTTTCTGATAAATAGATAAAATCTTAAAACCAACACTGTCCGTGTAGATTACGGGATTTTAATGTCGGATACATTTAACAACACAAAAATGAAACTACAATGAATAGTTCAAACTAAATGAGTTATAAGATAACTAGTTTATGTAAATAGAACATGGACATAAGGAGTTATACTGAGACTTA